ACTTTAATAAATACCTTTTAAGGTTTTAAACTGATTCCACCKTGTCGTGTCTTCCCATATGTTATGGCTCTTGAGCCGGGTCGTAACACCGAATGATCAGAATTTTTTGAATGGTTCCTTTTAATAAATGATAGGGACCCAGATGCGGACAGTAAAGAGACGCTTGTATTTTTTTTTTAAATTAAATTCCTTGTAATATCTATTTTTTTGTCCTCAACAACAAATCGCCCCTCCTTCACTTTTACTTTTTTTATTTATTTTTTTCATAGAATACATGTAGAGTGGTGGAGAGCAGCAGCTCAGGGTGAAAGGGTTTCTGCTTGATAAAACACATGATCCTGCCCATGAGGTATTTACTACTTGATGATATAACTAGCTTAAAATTGAATGGCTCTATGAAACAAACATATCATCAAGACCTGGTCAATGGATTTAGCAGAACTAGCTTCACATTTAGCAGATTAGCTTTTTTTTGCTAACTTTGGAAAATGCTACTGGACTGATTAGCTTCCAATACATTAGGTTCTGCAAATCCGCAAAAATATCGTAAAGTGTAAAACTCCTATTTTTATGCCATTTATTTCAAATTGAAGATAAACTATCCCCTCTGCAGTGGTGGACGTGTCAGGCACCGTTTGTAGCATGTAGTATCTTTAGCAGCTAATCTTTAAACTAATAGCACCAAAAGAAATAAAATATTTAACAATTCTTAAATAATGAATACAAAAGTGGACTATGTATAAAATGTACTAGAGAAAGTATTTGTTATTTGTTGTTAAAATAACTTCAAATTCAATTTATAAAAGATACAAAATGGAGCAAAGAAATGCTTTTATTTTGAAAGGATTGAACTTGAAGTATTACAAGTTAGAGCAATAAGTCAGGTTTGGATTAGCCGATGTGCCACAGATGATCCCGCCCACCTTCAAATTAAACCAGTAGAAAACTAACAACAGGTTTGAGTCAGTCCACCTGTCAAATAGAAAGAGATGAAGATGCGTGACAGAGTGAGTGACCGTCGTCTTAGCTGTTAGCTTTAGCTTCCATAAATTTTTTTAATCTCTTTAGCAGTTGTTTAGGGGAGCTAAGATTCTTGTTTAGTGGATCAGTTTTGGTTAGCTGTAGCCCCCTCTGTTTGGTCTAAATACACATCAATATGTTGGGAGAAAACCAAAAAGCATATTGGAACAAACAACACATAGCTGTCAAACATGATGGAGGGCTGGTAGAATAGGTTCTGCTGAGTATTTGGTTTCTTACATTTGAGGTTTAGCTTAGTTAAAAGAATGAGAAACTTTCAAATGTCAGTAGTTGCACATCTGCGGTAATAATCTGGTATTAGGAACTAGTATAAAAATKGTAATAATCATGTCCCTACACAGCACAGAACATTTTTGCCATTAACTATGTTCTAAGGATTCATTTTTTTCTCTCTCTCTGATTATAAAACCATGTCCTTCAGCTTTTATTTTCCTTTCTCCCCAGATGTTGCCTAGCAATCAAAACGACTCGATGTTTGAGGCTTAGGAGCTATATTTTTTAATTAACCACTAATGTACTTAGTTTCATTACACAAAACGGTTTGTAAGCAAACATCTATGGTTTAAGTGGAGTCGTTTACATTTTGGGCTGTAGTTAAAGTTAAAAGAGTAGAGTCTGCAGAGCTGACAGCTAATGTTTTTGTTTACGTGACGTGTGTGCAAGAGGCACTGACTCGTAATGTCGTAGACCACCACGGCCACGGTGGAGTCCCGTATATAACTGGGGATGAGGCTCCTGAAGCGCTCTTGTCCTGCTGTGTCCCAGAGTTGCAACCTCACCTGGGGTTCAGAGAGACAACGCTGAGGAGGGGAAGATGATTCAGACAGTCAGAGAGCCAGGAAACAATGGGCTCCCTTCAAACAAACACACACGCACGCACGCACGCACACACACACACACASAGAGAGAGGCACTGATAACATACACATGCACAAATTCACAGCAGGCTTTATTTATACAAGAAGAGCCTTCATTTCCAAGGTTGTACTTGTTTTCTCATGATAAACAAAAAACTAGCAGACAGGCTCCATTGTATCCACCTACGCAGCACAAGAAAGATGACATGCTGTTCCTCAACGCTGCTAAACAGTCTGAATGCAGACAGCGTTTTTGTAAAGACAAACAAAATGACAGCCAGAGAGAAATGTAGCCRACACCATTACAAAACTATTATTTTACATCTCTGTCATGACACCACACAGCTGTAACTTACCGTTCGATCTTCCAGGTACATCGTTTTAGACAGAAAGTCAATTCCAATTGTCGCCTGAAAGCAAAACAAAATATCCATGGATCAACATTATTAGATCAACTTTAGACTATATAAATAAATATGTAATTTATATTGCACACATGAGTGTATAGAGTAACAGTGAACAGTGCAATACATCAAGTAGTTTGTGGATTTTAACATTTTTTCACTGGTTGTTTACAATCATGACTCACGTCTTCATCACCCACACATTTATTCCAACAGCAACCTAATCATTCCCTTTTTGTGTCGTGGTTCAGATGGAGGTGTTCCTCCTCAAGGGATGTTTACTTTCCACATCAAGCCTACAGCTTACTGCATTTATTTCTGCCACCTATGATATCATCTGCTGCTCTGACGAATCCAAACCATGGATTCACGTAAACTGCAGATCTGTCTGTTTCGCTCAGTTCTTTTTAAATGTCAGAGACATGGATTTTCAAAAGCATAAAAATACAGTGGTTTGCAAAAGTATTCATACCCCTTGAACTTTTCCATATTTTGTCACATTACAACCACAAACATAAATATATTTCACTGGAATTTAATGTGAAAGACCAACACAAAGTGGTATACAATTGTGAAGTGGAAGCAAAATTTTACATGAATCAAAACATTTTTTACAAATAAAAAACTGAAAAGTGCGACGTGCAAAAGTATTCAGCCCCCTTTTCCCTGAGTGCAACCAATTGCATTCAGAAGTTGCCTGATGACTGCTAATGACTCAAAAGGGTCCACCTGTGTGTAATCTAATCTCAGTACAAATACAGCTGCTCCGTGACGGCCTCAGATGTTGGTTAAGAGAATATTGGGGAGCAAACAGCATCATGAAGTCCAAAGAACACACCAGACAGGTTAGGAATATGGTTTTGGAGAAGTTTAAAGCAGGCTTAGGTTATAAAAAGATTTCCCAAGCTTTGAACATCTCACGGAGCACTGTTCAATCCATCATCCGGAAATGGAAAGAGTATGGCACCACAGTAAACCTGCCAAGACAAGGCCGTCCACCTAAACTTACAGGCCGAACAAGGAGATCACTGATCAGAGAGGCAGCCAAGAGGCCCATGGTGACTCTGGATGAAATGCAGAGAGCCACAGCTCAGGTGGGGGAAACTGTCCACAGGACAACAATTAGTCGTGCACTACACAAATGTGGTCTTTATGGAAGAGTGGCAAGGAGAAAGCCATTGTTAAAAGAAAACCATAAGAAGTCCCGTTTGCAGTTTGCCAGAAGCCATGTTGAGGACACAGCAAACATGTGGAAGAAGGTGCTTTGGTCAGACGAGACCAAAATTGAACTTTTTGGCCACAATGCAAAAYGCTATGTGTGGCGGAGAAAGAACACTGCACATCACTCTGAAAACACCATCCCCACTGTCAAATGTGGTGGCAGCATCATGCTCTGGGGGTGCTTCTCTTCAGCAGGGACCGGGAAGTTGGTCAAAGTTGATGGGAAGATGGATGGAGCCAAATACAGGGCAATCTTGGAAGAAAACCTGTTGGAGTCAGCAAAAGATTTGAGACTGGGGYGGAGGTTCACCTTCCAGCAGGACAACGACCCTAAACATAAAGCCAAAGCTACAATGGAGTGGTTTAAAAAAAAGAATATTCATGTGTTAGAATGGCCCAGTCAAAGTCCAGACCTAAACCCAATTGAGAATTTGTGGCAAGATCTCAAAACTGCTGTTCACAAACGCTCTCCATCCAATCTGACTGAGCTTGAGCTGTTTTGCAAGGAGGAATGGGCAAGAATTGCAGTCACTAGATGTGCAAAGCTGGTGGAGACATACCCTAAAAGACTTGCAGCTGTAATTGCAGCAAAAGGTGGCTCCACAAAGTATTGACTCAGGGGGGCTGAATACTTTTGCACATCGCACTTTTCAGTTTTTTATTTGTAAAAAATGTTTTGATTCATGTAAAATTTTGCTTCCACTTCACAATTGTATATCACTTTGTGTTGGTCTTTCACATTAAATTCCAGTGAAATATATTTATGTTTGTGGTTGTAATGTGACAAAATATGGAAAAGTTCAAGGGGTATGAATACTTTTGCAAACCACTGTAAACATTGACACTGTTGTATTGTATTGCTTACTTTTATACAAAGAAAAACAAAACCTGTAGTGGAAAACATATGTTGCTCTAAAAAGTTTAGTTTTGACTGGATTGACAAGCTAGTCTGAGCAGGACCAAGACCAAAGTGAATTGCTGCCATCTGTAAGTCCAATTGTAAAAGTTTTCAGAGTCGTTTATGCAGAAGTTCTATTATAAACCTTTATATCACTGTCAGTTCTACATAATGAGGTTATTCTGTTCTCTTTTCCTCTTCTGTGCTTGTTTTTGGACAACTAGAAGCCAACCATATCTCCAGAAAAAACAAAAAAAAAATTGGTTTCTGCTGATGTAGTTTATTTCGAAAGGATTACAGGGTCAAAACTACAGCATAAACTCAGCTTTAGCGTCGCAACAAACACCATTTTAAAAGATCTGACCTATCCCTGTAAGTCACTGATTTCCTGTTAAACAATGTGCAGTGAATATAAAAACAAAACATGGCGTGTTGGAGGGGAAGTCATTTAAAAATAGATGTTTTATGGCAGCCAATTAAAGCAAATACAGAAAGCTAAAAAGGCACATTTGTTTCAGCATTTATCCAGATAAAATTCTCCTAACATTGACCTGTTTCTTTTAAACAGACACATTTATATAGATCTTTGATCAAGCAGGTACATGTTTGCTGTGTTTCTTTGTTAGGCAGCTCAGCGGGGAGTCCACTGCCCACTTTGACAGAACGCAGCATCAGCAGCTTGATCACGCACTCGTTTCCTTGGCGATGCCAGCAACCACACAGGACAAACTCAGAGTCTGGCACCATGACAGGATGTCTTTTATACTCTTCTTTTAGGCTCAATCAGGTCCAACACTGCTTGGAAAAAACTAAAGTCTAAAAAAATTCTAAATATGTATTTGATACAACCTATCTTTTTAAAGATTAACCTGGATAAAAACTGGTTTTAATGCTGTACCAATAAGTAGATGACAAACAAACTGCTAAACACAAAAAGATCTTTAATGTCATAGCTTGAAGAATTGTTTAACCTTTACAAAGACATATTTGAGAAATGAGATGTTTTTAAGTTCCTCCTGGTTTCAGTTTTAAATATAGAATCCCACACAGACAACTTGGAGTTAGACATTAGATAATGAGAAATTATTCATGATCTTCATTAAATGTTTAACAGAGGTATATCGTTAGAGGACAGACCATGTATCTTTGGCCCACTCTGCCAGCAACGAAGGCTAAAAATGGAACCGTCTTACCTCCTTGCTAAAAGTTATTTTAAAACATATGACCTTTTGCCAGAGTTTAAAGTTAAAGATTCAATCCCACAAATGGTTATCATTTGGATTTCATTTCATTTTGAAGCTTTACTTGCAGGTTAATTTCATAAATTTTGATTTAAAATGACAATGCGATTCTTTCAATTGTTCTTCTTAGTACAAACAAATGCTTTTATTTTCTACGGCCTAAATAAAATCTTTCAACTTTTATATTTTCATTACACTTTTATCCTAGAATGTGTACACATTCTCCACTGCTGCTTAAAACACAGATGAAAGTTCAATGTAGCTCTACGTGTCACATTGATTGATGATGTATTTATTATCATTGTACAGAGCACAATGAAATTACATTGAAGAACACCCATTCAAGAGACACACATGACAAACAGGGGAACAGGTGATCAGGTCATGTGGCAACCAGAAGGGGTCGTGCTACCTTTAAAAAGAAAAACGAAAAAAACACACAAGGATAGATGAGAAAAATAAAATAAAACCATATTATCTCAACGAAATATGACACACTATGGTGTTTATAGAAAAACCACTTCAGAGCAAGAATTTATTAGCCAGAGGAATAGTGAGCTTAGAGAGCGTGTATCTGAAGCCATGAATGTTGTATGCACTTGTGTGAATATCTGAAGAATTAGTCCAAAGAACCCAGCCCCCCAAAAGAAAAACCCATAGTTCAGCCAAAGTTCAGAATACTGGTGTTAATTGTTCATTCTGTGCAGCTCCAGATTGACCTTCAGGGGATCAGAATTAGACGGGAGTGAGAAGGGGGGGGGGGGGTGATGACCAAGCCAAGTCGACGTAAACAATAGGAGAAATTAGATCCACGGCTCTTCAAGATCAACATGGGAGAGAGCCAATTCGTAATCAGTTGTTTGGGAACAGAAGAAAATGTTTTTGGTCAGGCAGACCTGCTGGTACATCCAATGTGGCGAATCCAATCAGACAAATAATGTGGACAATCCTGCCGAGCCAAGCTATCAGCTTCTCCGAGATCAATTCCATCTCGCCAGCAAAGTCCAGGGACCACAGCCGGCCTGCGACCCTCAGCAGGACTGCTTGCAGACCGAGTTCCAGCTCACACAAAGCTAAATTCTGAGTGCTGAAAGAACAGCAATCCTTTATATTGGTCAGGCAGCCAGGAAAATGACTTGAAAAGCCACCAACGTTGTTTTGTAGAACACCAGGAGACCACCAAGCCAATCTGTAGAATCCAGTGATCAGAATCCAATATGTGCTAGTTGAACAGAGGTCCCACCTTTGACGTGTCCTCCCATGGAAAAAATTTGTTCCAAAAATTTACTAAGAGACCAGCTAACCAAATCCATAAAAATAAATTCATAATGTTCAGTTTCGGATGAAAACGTAGAGGAGTCTCCAAGCAGCAAAACAGGGAAAGATAAGGGAGGGCAGGAAAGAAAAGAAAAAGCGTCTTACTCCGAGAGCAGGAAAAAAAATTGTCCATTTATTGCCACCATGCTACACAATAGTGCTGGGTGGTGTACCGTTTTTTTTTTTACCGATAATCGGTTTTTGTTTTTGTTATATGAATTTTCTGAATACCGGACATACCAGTTTAAATAGTCTGAACACGTTTGGAACGTTTTGTCGCGGCTGCCAGTGTGCATTACCATGCTAATGTGATTGTTGGAGCAGCTTGT